CCGCGCACACGGGCCCCGCGAACCAGGGACAAGCGAGGACACTTGGCGAGGGGGGAAGGGAAGAGGGAGACACGTCGAGGAAGATGGACGGACGGCGCAAACAAGTGGAAGAGGATGGTCCACGTACGACCGATGCTCCGCCGTTCTAGCGGCCGATTTCCTGCGAACGACGCGTGCCTACTCGCGTGTCCAACCGGCATTTCGGATTCCTCCCTCCCCTTCAACACGGGGGCTTCGATCTCCTATTTCGAGATCGCGTTACCCCTCCACCGATCCTCCTCGTTCCTTCCTCCTTTCCATAAATCTAGATCGTTGTCTTCGCGACGCGAGTTTGCCAATCGCGTGCCAATCATTGGAATCGAAAACTATACGAAGTGATTATTCTCCATTCTCTCTTCAATATATATATATATATATATTATTCCATTTACATTATTGGTTTCCAAAAAGAAAAGAAACGAAAGCCAAACACGTTCGATCGATCATACATTTTACTATCAGGAAACGAATCCATTGTCCCAGCTTAACCATCGCGCTTACATAACCATGCCCGAGAACCATTAATTACACGTTCGCACGGAGCGGTGGCGCTCGCCACGCAACGACGATCCGCCTCGTATTCAGCATCGTATCCCCTCCGTGACGAACATAAATCGTTCATCGGGGCGGAAAAATCCGTTCGTGTCACACTTTTCATCCCATAATCGGGAAGAGGGGGATAAAATCCAACCTATCTCGACGCACGTCATCCCTGGATGGGAAAAGGGGGAGGGAGGGACAAAGGTCCGAAAAAGCGTAGGTTGATAATCGATAGGGTAGCGGTTAACGCTAGGGCAGGGTCCGTGCGCGTGACCCACGTGAGTTCGTAGCACGAGCGAGAAGGAGAAGGCGATGTATGGGGAGGAGGAGGAGGAGGAGAAAGGCGGAAAGAGGGAAAGAGAAAGGGAGCATCGGGGGCTAGTCAGGTCAGCGTCGCCGACGGCTGGGGTATACGAGGAAGAGGAGCGTTGTTCTTGGGCCCGCCATTCGGAGGGGATGGCTCGGAGGAGAGGAAGAGCTGTCGGCTCCTTTGAAGTCGGTCGGTACCGTGTGTAATTAGGCCGCCGCTCCCCACCCCGCCCTCAGCCTCTGATCTCGCCGCGCTGTGTCGCTAATTGCTCACCGCCCCACGGCAGAAGCGTCGTCGTCGTCGTCGTCGTCGTCGTCGCCGTCGTCGTCGATATTGTTGTTGTTGTTGTTGTTGTTGCGTCGTCGTTGCTCGGATATAACTTGGAGAGTTCTTTCGAACAGCGACGAATCGGACAAGACTAGAATTTTAGGAAGCCGAACATCGACGTGGATTGGCCGTTAATACCTGGCCAGGAGCCGTGTATCGGGTACAATGGGATGTGGATGGACTTCGGTAGCCGGGTTAAACGACGCGATCCAAGCGGTTTTCCGTCGCCGCAGGAACGCCAGCTTGGTCGCGTTCTGACCGTGTATGTGGGATCGTGGCGCTAGTAGTCTCGCGTTAACCTCTACGACGCAACTACGTAATTAATCTGCCCGAGGATTCACGAATTGGAATGGAAGAAAAAAGGATTCTTCTTTTTGGCGTTTTTTTCCCCCTCCCCCTCTTATATTTCGCCAAAATATATTTATATATTTTCGTCGTGGTAAAAATGGTAGAGTAGTTTTGTAGTTTTTGAATCGCGAAAAAATTTTTCTCCAGACTTGGGATTTGGTTTAATCCCTGTTCTCTTTGAGAATTTCTTCCTCTTTCTTTCCTCTCGGCACTTTTACGCCTTTTTCCTTTTAATTTTTTCCGCAGGATTAAACGGTGAAAAGGTTTCTCATCCGGCGACAACCTGCACCGGTCTACCCGTCCGGTGTACAGTTAGGAGTCTTTACGAGCCTCTCTAACGCCACTCCTCTCATTTTTTGACGTTCGCATTCCGACTGCACAACAATCTCCCCGGCTAGGAAAAACGCGCGACCGCTAATTCCCCGTCTTGCAACGAGACAATGACTCGGTATTTAGGACATCGGATAGAAAGACACGCGGAACGAGTGAGAGTTTATTGCGAAAACCGGAGGCTCTTTAACCCGAGAGGTTATTCCGAACAATCGAACGAAACGAACGGGAGGGAGGAATGCATAACCAGTTTAAAAGGCGACGAATAAATTTATAAGGGGGTAATAAACTTCTCCCGTTGAATATAATCGAACGAATTAATCGATGATTTATGATATTACGATCGCGAATCTGTAATTTGCTCAATCGGTATTTTTTAATTTAAAATGATAATGAGCAAAGAGTAGATCTAGATTACGTGCTCGTAATGATGTAACGAGTTAAAATTACGCTTTTATTCGTCCTCTCGTGACTTTAAAAAATTCATCCAACCTGTTTTATTAAAAAATTTTTAATATATCCTCCCCTCTCTTCTAAGCGAAAATTTCGCCTTGAAAAATTGTCTCGTTTCTTTTTTTTTTTTTTATATATAATTTCCATGCCATTAAACGGCTAAAAAGCAAACACACTTATTTCCCAGTTATCCTGCAAACGTTCTTATAAAATCAATTATACGCTCGTCCCAATTATCCATCCACCGGTCTGAAAACCGCAAAAACAAAGAAACATCCACTCGATTGGTAGCCCGAACCCGCGCACGAACACAGAAATTCAACCGCAAATCCGACCGAAAATTCACCTTTGGGGAATCGAAACAAAACGGGGGCAAATGCAGCGGATAGATAAGAGAGAGGAGGGACTTAACGAGCCGAAGGGGGAGAGGAACGAAGAAAGGGAGGGATCGATGCAAAGACTGTGCACGCGGCGCGTGATCACAGATGGAATCCCGACGTAAACAAGCTTAAATTGTAATCTCTGCCTTTTGCATCTCACTCCTCTCTCTCTCTCTCTCCCTCTCTATTTTTCTCTCTCTCGATAGGAGTACTTGTTGCTCGTCTACCTTTTGATGTCGGTCATGCGCTGCTCGAAATCAATTTGGACTCATTAACGGGCTTGGAACACGGTTGGCAAAGGATATCCGAGCAAACATCGCGTGCCATTAACCTTGCCTCTTTTAGCAGGTGGCGGGCGGAGAACGGGCTACCTTCTTCCTCCTTTTCGTACTCGTCCCTTCCTTTTCTTCCTCGAGACTTCTTTTCTTTTTCGATCCTCTATTTCGGGAGGCGCGCGTTACTCGCCGCGGATTCTTCTTTTCGAATCTTCGAATATTCGAGCGAGTTTGGTGATTGATATCTCCAAAGGAGGAAAGAATTTTTAATTATTTTGATTCGAAAGATACGTGTCGCGCTTGCTGCAAGTTCTCCTTTTCGGATCTTGGAATAGCGTAAACACGTTAGAGTTTATGGAAATTGGTATTAATATTTTGGTAGGCGAAATTTTTGATGAAATTTTCGAAACCTTTGAGTGAATTTCTAAACGGATTATTATTAATTTAACAGAGTTTTTCGACGATCGTCTATTTTAAAGGCGACCGGGGAGATCAGAGATTAGACATCAAAGCTTGGAAAGAAATTCTTAGCTGGATGAGACGCGTGTTTTCTCGTTCAAACGAACCGTAGACAGATTTTTCTCTTCATTGGACGAGTGTCCGAAGCAGTGAGACTGAGCAGATGATTTTTCCCTCGCATCGAATAAATCGCTATATTTTGGTGCCGCGAAAGTCTGCCAATTCGAGCATTACGCATCGTAAAAGTATTTTAACGATAAACAAATTCACAATCTCGTAAAAATCTCAACCATTGTCCAACGTTCATTCCTTCCATCCCTTTCTCTTGAAAGAAATTTCACCTCCCCCCAAAAAAAAAGAAAAAAGATAAGAAAGTTGTTCAAAAATCTTAGCCAAAATGATGTAAACGATAAATCACTCGAGATATCACCACTTTTGAAACGAAGCATCGCGGAATGACTCGAGGAATTCGAACGCAATTAATCGAAGGATAGAAATGGCGGGAGGATTTTGGCGCCACGTATCCGATCGCGCGACCAACGACACCACCCAGTGTCCCGTGGGCTCGGGCAAAGAACGGCCATAAATTTTAGCCCAGCGTTCGTTCTCGCGGTTTGTCGCGTGCGTCTAGATTTCGCGGCCGTGATTTATTACGAGGATCGCGTGCGGTCCTCCCCTCCCCCACGGCTTCTAAACGCATGTGCCCCCTCCGTTCAAACTTTGACTCGATCGTATCTTTGAAATCTCTTTTAAATCCGATGAAACGAATTTCATCGCGTTTCTCATTCGATTGCCACTACTGTGTTTCACTTCTTTCTTCCCTCCTTCCTTCTTTACTTTTCGTCGAAGAAATTTCTGTGAAAATGAATCTCTCGATCTCTCAGTGAAAAAATAAAGTCTGAAGTCTATGTATCGTGGAATTGGACATGGATAGAGCGAAACGGAACAATAGCAGGTTTAAATTAACAGACTGTTCTTCTTCGAGAAAAATCGAAAGGAGAGAACGAAGATGGTCGGAAGAAAGGCGAAGGAAAAAAGGGGGTTGGCGAAGAATCGAGGAACGAGCGCGTTGGATCGAAATTTTTCGCGAAGAGTAAAGTTCAAAGGCTTCGGTTAAATCGTACTTAAAAGTTAAAACCCGAGAGCGTAAGCAAAGGATTTGAAGGGAGGGCAGTGTGGAATGGAGGGAGAAGCATAACAGGAGGCTCGAAATGATCAAAGAGCGTTAAAAGAGGATCCGGGTTGTCTCGCCGCTACCCGTTTCACGCTTAAGTATATACACGCGCCGTCCTTTCATCGGGACAGATATCTTCGAAAATCGATGTGTTTTGAAAAAAAAAAAAATCTTTTTTTCTTCCTATTACCAAAATTCCAAATTTTTCACACATCTTTCTCCATCATTATTTTCCCGCGAGACGGGCAAATCGATCAATCATTTTTTTAAATCTTCGATAAATATATTTAATAAATTACTACGCCACGATCGTAGAAAGAAAGAGCAAAGAAAGAAAGAAAAAAGAAAAAAAAGTCCAAACTCACCTGCAACTCCATTCTCATCTTCGGTGCTTCACCGTCCCGTACCGGGTTCCCGATCCGACAAATCCCCACCACTCGGAAAAAGAAAGTTTTCCAAAGCAAGCCTACTTTCCTCTTCCCGATCACCCTTCGATCATCTTCTCACGTTCTCCACCCTCGTCTACGGTTCACAGATCGACATCACAGATCCGTCTTACTCTCGTCAACGACAAGGGAACGTCACCATCGATCTTCCTCCTCGAGCATTCGAGGCGAATCAATGGATATATAAAATTGCAGTCCCAACTGGATATAATCCGACGCGATTTAACGAGGGAGCGAGTTTTTGGAAAGAAAGAAGGTGGAGAGAAACGGAGCGAAGGCGGGGGTGGAAGCGGAGACCACGTGGTGGGTGGAGGTCTCGAGCCGGTGTGCTCGATACACGTACCCGTTGACGGTCCGCGGCGCACTGCCGCCACTTTCCGCTTTGCACGCTTCCTCTTCTCTTCTCCTTCTTCGTTCCTTCCTGCGGATCCGAGCCCTTCTTCCGAGTCACGAGGAGAGCCGGTGCGCGCACGTGCCGGCGAGGAGGAACACCTCCTCTTCTTCGCGCTTCACCCTTTCTCTCCTTCGCCTCTCCTCTCGTCCGTCGGCCCGCTTTGTTGCTGCCGGGGCCCTCTTCTTGCTCCTTTCCGCTTGTTTGTTGTGGGTGTTTTCTTTGACGGCTGCCTCCGCGCCGCTCTTTTTCAGACCCGGAAGATTCGACCGGCCCCCAAGATTAATTGACGCCGAGTTTTACGCGAGATCCCTCTGTCTCTTCTCTCCTTCCCTTTTCAATTCTTACGATTATTTCCACCACTCCGTCTCTTACTCCGCTTTCACCTCCACGATTTCCAACCGTGGATCGATCGGCAGGTATCGAGATGATACGACAAGAAGGATCGCGATATTTGCGACGATTTTTGGTGTTTAAGACGAGACTGTGGAATGGAAGAGAGAGGTCGAGAGTCGATGATATGTATAGTATACAGGGGTGCTCTTTGATCTACGATCTTTCTCAAAAGAGTTGAGCCAATTTTATTTTAATCTTCCGCGTTTAAACTTGTTCGAGATGAAAATTTCGTACTCTTGGCCGATTGGAAGGACATGCGTGTGATACACCGAAAGGCTGTTGGAGGCTCTTGTCGCAATTTGGTCTCACGTGATTCTCAGGTACGGGAATACTGCTACTCCGAGTGGCTGGAGGTTCCTTGCGCCATCGGAGCTTGGCACTGACTGACAATCGGGCCAGGTTAAACCGCGCGAAGTAACCAGACAACAGTGTCGGTGTGGAAGGGCAAGGGGAGGCATCGAGTCAGAGAGAATCGGGCAGAGAGGGATAAAGGGCGGGGGAGACCGTGGCCACGTGGAGGGTTGTTTTCATTTCGAAATTTTCCTATTGGCCATTGTTTTCTTTTTCTCTTTCTTTTCTTCCTTTTTCCTTTTTTTCTTGAAAGCGTGGAAAGAAAGCGAAGAAGAAAAAGTTTGGAAACTTGGACGAGAGATTGATTTTTTTTTTTTCTCCTTTTCTCTTTCTCTTTGAGAAGCGAAGAATATTCCGTATACGATTGTTCTTGAATTTCTTAACGGCGATTCCAAATAAACGAGGAGAAAGCGATGATAAGATATAAACGCGACAGAGTATATAAAATATATTTAAATTGATTCATTTGCCTCGAACTGTCCTCCTTTCATTCGTTATATAAACTCACTCACTTCTAAGTTTTCCTACCCTAATGAATACACCCTTGTATCCAATTATTTTTTTTTTTTTTTCTACATCTTCGCACGGAATCGCTAATAAAATTTACCCGCGTTATAAAATGTGTCCCTCCAATACTACATACATAGTACGCATCTATACAGTTTCTTAAAAGCGTTAGTTAAAATTTTCATCTGCGCTTTCCTCGATTTTTCGCCGAACTACCACGCAACTAAAAAGATCCTTCAGTTTGAACGAGTGATCATCAAACGACACGATTCAATCATCTTTTACTCTCTCTCTTTCTCTCTCTCTCTCTATTTTCAACAATCGTTCATTTAACGACGTACAACAAAAGAATCGATCCCTCGAATCAGCTGCTTCTCACACAAATTGTTCACGATCTAAGCGCGCCTCGACTCGATCGATAGCTCCCTTATCGAACGATGAGGGTTCGCGTCGGCGGCTTGGTGGAAAAAGCCTATTGCTCGAAAAACGGGTTTGCGGTGCCGCGGGTGGTGGCGGGTGCTCTGTAGTTTATCGTTGAAATCGTGTAGCACGTTACGGTACACCGCGATCATTAGCTAGATGCCGCCTGCCTGCCGGGAAGGCTGCACGATACTCGCCTCGATACCCGCTTGTTCTATCGGCGTGATTCGAGGAACGAAGCTTCAGCTCCAAATCTTTCGCGTTCGATAATAGCTCGATCGTTCTGACGCAGCCTCTTCACTTGCTCCTAACGAAATGTGTAAACTTATCGTTTGGTCTCGATCCAATGTTGTTGGTTTTAACGTAAACCGAGTTTCGATATCAATATTTGTATACATTCGTCTATAACATTTTCCATCTTCGAATAAATTTTCGATTATCGTTCCTCGCTATCAGCATCGATTTAAACTTCAAGTTTAAACTTTGTCCCCTGTTATTTCGTACCCCTTTACAGGGGGTTGCAAAAAAAAAAAACAAGAGGAAACCGCAAGGAAATGCGGCATAAATAAATTCGACGGCATGCACACGGCGAGAAATATATGCCAGAGAGAGAGAGAGAGAGAGAGGAGGAGCGGATATTTTTTTGCCGATGTTCGGAGCAGCGGCTTGTTTGCGGAGTCGCCAGCTCGAGGCGAGCGGAATGACGTTATTAACGAAGAACGTGACGCCGGGATGTTATCGTGGCCGAGTAAACGATAAGCGAGAGATCGGCTCCGTATCGGGAATCTTACGGTGTGAGTCATCGGCGAACCGGTCGATACCAATTGAGGCCGATCGCGGGGACGCCGATCGAGCCTTTGGCGGCCCTTTAAAAACGATAATCGAGCAGAAAAAGCCGAAACGGTCTCGTATCGATTCAAATCTGATCACCTTTCTCGTCTCCCTCGTGTTTATACATATGTAGCCGCGAAATCGGCAGGGACAAATATGGTATTGGCCGCGATCGTAATCGGTCCAATCCGAGACAGATCCAAAGATTCGAGATTAAGAAATGGAATGGACGTGTTTCGTGATATTGCGTGATACGAAATTCGGTTGGAGAAGAATTTGACGCGCACCGAAAAAGAAAAAAGAAAAACAAAAAAAGAGATATCCTCCCGTATCCTCGTCCATTTTATTCGTTATTTTGCGCATCGCGTGTCGGATAAATCGCGAATGATCGCACCGTAAACGTAGCGATTCGAACGAAAGAATTGGTGAATTCTTCTCCATGGATCGGTCACAGGTGATCGAGGCAGCCCAACCTATCCGACTATGGTAGAAGATCAAAAGTTAAAGTGTGTCAGCTCGCAAAAGCGGAACACGTCTCGGTTCGTGGATCTTTGATGGCTCGAATCGTGGAGAGGCTCGAGGAAGGAGCGTTGACTCGGCAGTAGGACACGTAACACGGTGATTTGACACTAACAGGGATACGGGAATGGCGTCGTGACCAGGTGTAATCGAGAAAAGGGGAGCCACGGGAGGGGGAGCGTCTCACGGAGGGCAAGTCGGCGCCTTTCATCCCTTCCCCTTCGTCGCTTCTCTCTCTCTTTCTCTCTCGTTTATCTCTTTTTTTCTCGCTTATCCTCCCCCTTTGGTCGTTCGGTAATGCTCGCCTTTCTCGATCCTGCCTCACTCCTCGTTTCGTGGAAACTGATATCTCTCGACGAAAAGGGACTTCGGGGAAAAGGGAAAATTCGTCTTTTTGGGGGGGGGGAAAAAAAGGGATCCTGGACACGTTGGAAAGGATCCTTTTTTTTACAGACGAGCGTTATTACCATTAAATTCTCGACCTTGTGTCCGTACTTTCATCGTATTAATGAAAACGAATGACAATTATGTTTTTCACAATCCTATCTCGAAATGTCGTTCGCCAGGAAAAGTTGAAAGTGGTTGGAAGAAAAAAGGATGGCCAGGATAGAAACGCTATCGATTCTTTACTTTTAGAGGACGAAGCCTAATGTTACGTTAGATTGGAGTTACGTGTGTTGTATGGAAAAATGGACCAGAGGATAATTAGGATGTGGAAATAATTAATTATTCGGACGAAATTAAAGAAGAATTTTTCTTTTTTTAAAAAAAATCTATTTAACAACGAAGCAGAGATGCCCGTTTTAATTACGTCGATACGACTGCGGTGTTGAAACGGCGCGATCTTTTTAGATGGTTCGTGGTACGATACATATTTCAGGATTCTTTGAACGTGGAATAACAGGAATAACAAAAGAGTGGTCGTTAACGATCGCCATGTTGCTCGTGCTTGGCGTTGTTACTAATTAACAAGCAGCCGAGTGCTCGTTATGCTACCTGGTTGACGAGAACCTGGTCGGATTCCTCAACACCTAACCATTTATTCGTGGAACTGCTACCTCATCGATCTTTCTATCTAAACACGCGGTCTCGCGTTCCAACTTTCACTCGAGACTTTACGTTAAAACCATGAAAAAACTTTTAAATACGATCGAAAGAAGACTTGGTCAACGAGATGGACGAAGATCTTTGAACGAAGATCTTCTAATTTTTCAAGTATTTTATCGTACGGAGGTAAAAATTAGCTCCGAACGAAAAGAAAAATAATAATAACAATAAATATCCTTAACTTAAATCCAGCACAAACTATTCCAATCATTTTCATAGATCTCGATTCGAAAGTTGGACGCTGAGAGATTAATTAAAGTTAGGATTAGTTGAAATTTTGGATAAATCCATTTTAAACTAATAGATAATGAATATTCAAAATATAATTCGAGCGACAAATTTATTATACAATTCTTTATTCTTAACTCATTAGAATTGAACGATCTCCGATCGTTTACTTTTAATAGGAAACTCAATAAATAAACTACGGGAGAGAAGAATTTCCAACTCCTATTACCTTTCACCACTTGGATCAAAGAGCACCGCTATTCCAATACGAACTTTATCACGTTTGTCGAACAACGACGCGGCCT